ATAACTCTATATAACTCTATATAACCATGCATACTACCACATTCAATCAATAAAAATCTCACTAAAACCAAGAACCACCGCGTACCTGCTGAATGTATGATGTGAAACAAAACAAAAAAAACACAAAACAAAAATCACACCACCAAGTAGAGTAAAAGAATAGGAGTCCCTAACCTACCTATGTAACTAAATTACCTTATGCCCTAGCCTATCTATATAATAAATTAATTTTTACCTCACCTACCTATGCTTCATTAACTTAACTCAAGACTCATGAAGAAAGAGAAAAAGGAGTAAAACAGAACATAAAATACTACCACACAAACAAACATGATGTATGTCTGTATGTATGAGCAACCGTTAAAGAACCCACCTAAAATTAAAAAAATACCACCTACAAACATGCAAACTCTATATAACTCTATATAACACTATATAACTCTATATAACTCTATATAATAAAATAAATAAAAATAAAAAAAATTTAAAAATAAAATAAATGAGATCAGACAGACTGCTTCAAGCGAGGCAGAATGCTGATCTGATTTTCGTGTTGTCTCAGCTCCTCTATTCAACCATACATTCTCATCATTTCAATCATTCGCATCAGTAAAAAACTTGTTTAATGTATATACTGCACTATTATACAGTCTTAACCACAATGCTAACCGTACTAAATTGAAGTCATCGAACGAACGCCTTCGAAACTTTCTGGTTGGCTGGTTGAATCTGCTATATTGCTTTTCATATAAACATATAATCTAATATAATCTAATTTAATTATTTGTATACATGGATTCCAGTCACTTTATACATATATAATAAAAATTCATTATAAAAGCAACAGTAATCAGTGCTATATATGTAAGCACGCAGTTCAAATTTTTCAGGGAGAATTCAAAATTGTTTGAGACCACACCTTGCTTAACATCCAATTCCAAGCCGAGCCAAGCCAAGCTGAGCCAATATGCATAGATTTAAAAGCGCTTTTATGTTAATATTTTGCTCGCTATATTTATATATTTTATAAATTCATTATAAAAAACAACAGTAGCCATTACTATATATATGTACGCACGCAGTTCAAATTTTTCGGGGAGAATTCAAAATAGTTTGAGACCACACCTTGCTTAACATCCGATTCCAAGCCAAGCCAAGCTGAGCCAATATGCATAGATTTATAAGCGCTTTTATGTTAAAATTTTGCTCGCTATATTTATATATTTTATAAATTCATTATAAAAACAACAGTAATCATTGCTATATATGTACGCACGCAGTTCAAATTTTTCGGGGAGAATTCAAAATAGTTTAATACCACACCTTGCTTAACATCCGATTCCAAGCCGAGCCAAGCTGAGCCAATATGCATAGATTTATAAGCGCTTTTATATTAAAATTTTGCTCGCTTTTTAAACGAATATCCCAATATAACAAATTCTCCATCTTATTTTAACTTTCTTTGATGCTTTTTAATCAGTCAGGTCACAAAAATCATTATCGATATCGCAACGAAATCAATTTGAAATTTTCTTTTAATTATTGATAAAATTTTTAAATTGTTGATGAAAATAACTAGTATATATAGTGTAGTAAAACGTTTAAAATTTTCTGAGAGAATTCAAAATAATTTGAGACTACACCATAACACAATTGTACAATTTGAATGTGTAAATACATTATAAATGTATTATAACTACGTGTATATATCTATCTATTTCTTTATTTAGTTCTGCCTGTGTATGATATTTTGTCAAATTTATTTCATAGGAATTGAATATAACCTTTATACCGGCTGATTAACTACCATGCAGTAAAATAACTACTGTTGACACCATTTCCTCCAACGATTTCGCAACGAATTGCCCTTACCATATAATTAGAATAAACTCTTTCAATCAATGTTTAAATTTTTATATTTTCATTTATTCTTTCGTTTTTGTTTCTGTACTAATTTTCGTGTCAGATACAATAATTTAGTTTTTAAGTAAATTTTCATTTTCGTAGCTATACACAAACATGCCTACCTGTTGCATTAAAAATTTCATTAATAATAAATAGAAATGAGAAAATTTCTGATGCATCTTTTCACAGGTTTATTTTCAAATTAACTTCACACTAAAATAAATGTAACAATATCCCTATACTCATTGAATGGAACTATTTTGTTTTACAATTACATATATTTTATTTTATAGACTATTATAATTTATAATGCTATCATGGATTACCATTTTATTATTAAAAGCAATACTTAAGAAATGCACAAGTTTCTGTAACAGTTTATAAAATTTCAGATTTCCTGAAAATGTAAAAATGCAAAACGATTGGATTAAGTACATCAGACAGGAAATAAATGATTTCAAATGGCTTCCATCAAAAAATACAAGAATATGCAGTGACCATTTCTGTAATAAAGATTATAAGGGTTATGATGGAGAAAGGAAGGTAATGCTGAAGAAAGCATTCCCATGTTTTCAAGTTAGTTATATTTATATTCACATCATCATTGTACATTGCAACATTCTTATCTATACAAAAAATATAAAATGCATTCAACAATATTCCATGTATTTTATTAAAACTTAGAAAGGGCATAATGACATTGTGAATAATAAACTCTGCTTAGGACTGGGATCATCATCATCATACCAATCCCCATTACAAGTAGAGTCAATTTTATATTAATGCTTAACAAGTTAACTAAATTGGCATAATCAAGTTTTTATATGAAATACACATCAAGTATTTAATGTAACAAATAAATTAACAAAAAAATTTCTGGAAAAGTTTAAAAAAATTAGAACATATGACTCTGATCAAAAATCATTTGCGTTGACACTGCATTTGTAAGGGCATAAGGCATAAGATTATCTTTGGACAAATGGCTTACATCTTCCTCACACTAGGACATTAAGAAAGTAATCTTGTCATACCTGTTCAATAATTTTAATAAGATTGTTTTAAATAACTATTCTCAATGTCATTTTATTAACACTACATTAAAAGGTGGCTACAAAACATTGATGGTATGCCTGGGGTGATTTCTACAAACCTTATTGACTAATGGTGATGGGGATCCTCTGGAACTGTGGGATCATGACATTCAATCTAGTCATGGATTGAGAAATCAATCCTTGATATATTTGATAACAAACATTTATTATAATATAAGAATGAAAAAAAGATGTAGGTGTAAGGCAAAATCTTACTGGAACTATTATTTTTAGCAATTTATGATTTATATTTTTATTTATGACTTTATCCATTTTCAATGATACAGATATTTTTAATTATTATTATCCAAATTATACTCATGCCTATATAAATTAATTTAATTGTGGCTATTTCTATGCTTAATTATTTTATTTACTTGCCATAGGTATGCACAGCATTTAATAAATTGATGATAATAATTAATCAATCAATCAATCTTCGTTTTGCGTCCAGAGACCCGGTTTCATAACAACATGTACTACAATTTAAGAATGAGGAATATTTTGTAAAACATTAAATGAAAAAAAATTTAGTTTGAATCACTCATAATTAATAAATTTCAATTAAATTGCAAGTTAGCTTGGGGAGTTTGAAGCTTGAATTGAACAAATTACAAAATGGTTTATTTTATAAAATTGATTGATAAGTTGTTTAATATATTTATTTAATTTAGTATATTTTTTATTCCCAGACCTAAGCATTGTAAATAAAAATTTTAAAACCAATCAAGCAATAGAATTTAGGATCTTAGGAACAAGTGCTGTTAGTCGTTAGTGCAGTAGTGGTATGTAGTAGTGTGGTGGTTGGTAGTTTCTAGTAGTCTAATCTGTCAATGTTCGTTAGTGTTATCCATTATTTATTTCAATTAGTAATTAGAATCAGTAGAGTTTAGTTTTAGCTTAATTATTAGAGTTTAGTAATTTAATTACTAATTAGTCGTCGTTTAGTGTTGTTACATTTAATCAAATGAGTTAAGTGTTGTTGGTGGTTCACAAAAAATTTTTTTTATTTAAAATGCAAAAAGATACTTAACCGCCATACAGCAATATCTATCCTAAAACAGCATCTAGTATCACCTTTTAAAACATTTTGAAATTTTAAATAAAAGCAATATTCCAAAATTAGTAAATATACGATCGTAACTTTTGACTTGGGCGATAAAAAATCACCCTCCAATTTCCCTCCGGAAGTAAGCTCCTTGTTCGACCGTCAAAAATGAGCGAAGGCCGTTATATTTATTCTAATTATATGGTGATAGGCGCCGCATTATATACATAGAATACTGACAATTTTAGTATATATAAGCTCTGAACAGACGTTGTCGGTTTTTTAGTATATACATATTTATTGTTTCATATCTTTTTGACGAAATAAAAACTATAATTACCGGTGGTTCTGCTGAACCCGTGGTTTCTGGTCATTGGCCACGTTCGGTGTGTAGGACTGGAGAGGGAAGCAGAGACGTGGCTAATGACAACAAAACTTGAACAGCAGCTTCGCCGAACTGACTGAAGATGATTCGTTGGATGTATATGCAGGGACCATATTCTCACAACCGAGATCCTGAACCAATCGGAACAGAACACTGAAGGATGCACGTCGTCATCGCCTACGATGGTTTATTCATGTGAAGCGAAAACGATATAATTTACGTCACTGGGCAGCAAGTGCCTGGCAACCGTCAAAAGTATCACCCAAAGAAGTCCTGGACACAGATCATTCTGGAGGATCTGAAGGCACTCAGAAGTAGATTCAATGGATCGACCGATTTGGAGACAGAAGATAATGGCTGGAATAAAGAAGGTTCAAACCACAACAGAGAGATATAAACGAGGATCAATTTCTTTTGACTTTTTAATTTTCTCACTGCTAAGCAATAAGCCAAAGTAATATCAAATCAACGTTCTTCTCTACACCCGAAACCAAATCAGTGATATTTGTCTTTCCAAAAGAAAAGATGTTTTTCATTATTTTATTTTGTTTAATTTAATAAAGCAAACAAATACAACCAGTCAAGATTTTATTCAACCAGCAAATAATTTTAAGGAAAAAAACTGTTTCCATAACCCAAACATCAATGACATTTAGATGATTCCAATCTGTATGAAAAAAATAGTTAAATTTACATAAAACTGTTTATAAGGTTCTAAAAATTGCATTGAAATTTATTTGCAGCAGTGCACTACCTCAAACATTGACTAACTTACTTCCAAATTGCAGCACCAATGAACAAGATCATATCAAATCAATTGCAAAAATTATTTTAAAATGAACATTGATGGCCTAAAAATTTATTTTCTGAACAATCAAAAGGAAACCTTGTTAGCAACATCAAGTGCATCAAAATCTGGAGCCAATCTTACATAGGCTTTCTTTTCACCATCCATCCTTTATAAATTTTAAAAATGTATTTAATACAAATTCTCAATATTCATGTAAAAAATTTTAACCGTACATATACCTGATCAACGTGTTAACTTTAGAAGCTGTGATCTCATATAACTTCTTGACAGCCCACTTAACTTTACTTTTGGTGGCACGCTTGTCCACAATAAAAACCAAAGTGTTGTTATCTTCAATCTTCTTCATGGCAGACTCAGTCGTCAATGGATATTTGATGACCTTGTACTGGTCAAGACTGTTTGAAAGAAAGCATTAAGTATTACACATTAGATAACACAGATAACATGTACATACAGCACACCCAGAATCTTTATTCCACTAAAAACAAACCTGGGTTTCTTAACATGACTCCTTCTTGGGTATTTGGGTACTCGTTCGAGAGATAACGTCTTGGGCCTCCTGAAATGAACAGATGTTCTGATCTTGCGAGATCTCTTATCATGGACTCCTTTGGTCACTGCCTTCTTTGCTTTCAGTGCCTTCTCTTTGGCTTTGCCATCTTTAATCTTGATTGGCTTTGGTACAGCAGATTTGGCTTCTTTTTTTGGGCCCTCTTTTGTCTTAGCTGGGGCAGCTTCTTTTGGCTTGCTTGGTGAGGGTGCAGTCTCCTTAGGCTTAGCAGCAGCTGGAGCAGCTGGGGCCTTAGCCTTTGGCTCCTCTTTTTCTAATAAAGATAATAACCAGTATATTAATAAATAATTTAATAATTAATTAACAATCTTATGTATTGTACAAAAGTGCATTTGATATTATAAATTATATATATATGATTTCGATTGATTAAAACATATTTTAAATTTTGAAGTGATCAGACCCAAAAACCATCACAGCTGAACAGTGCGCTGTTAAATGTCTTCTAAATGTTAAGAAAACCTCAACAAATATACAACAATAACTGCTCCTGAACGGCTACTCAAAGAATGGATCTAAATTCTGCATCATATCACTTCTCACAGTATAAAAAATGAAATTAAAAACGATCACATGTACAGGTAAAAAAACGCATAAATACTAACGCAACACTCAAAAAGGAATAAAGAGAATTTTTACACAACGTGCACGCCGAACGGACTAGCGATTTCCCGTTCACAAAACAAAAAAAACGAAAATTTTTGAAAGATTGAACAAACGTCCAACTAAAAACATCAAATTGATAAAAAAAAGTAGAAATTTGAATCGGAAAATTGAGTATATTACTTGAATCTGATCCCTTCTTTTTCGCTGGCGACATTTTTGTTGTACGGAAAAGAAAAAAGGAATATGGCGAGAGAATCGTGTTAGATATGTAATTTTTGAAGCGCAAATTTTTAAGACGCCGAATAATGGTTTGCTAATAAATATTGGCTATATTTAATTTAATTTACAATTTACAATATTAAATTAAAACTACATTTTAGATAAGATTCTACTTAAATTTTACTTTTTAAATTTTGTTCAGGATTCGAATTTCTTCCAACTTCCATTTACTTTTATTAGATAATTTTCTAAATGAGAGTCTTCAAATACCGGCTTATTTTGCGTAAATTTACATATTTTTCGTCCTTTCGCAAAAAATCCTGTTTCCTTAAAGATGAAAAATGGACGAAACTGTGCTCAGAATCGATTGTCAAGTCTGCCAATATCACACCAAATTCCGTTTTTTCACTTATCAATCCTGGTACATTATTTTTTTAATTTAATTTTAATTAATTTTATAATATCTAATTAAATAAATCTTAATTATTATATAACATATCAATTATCTATTTAGTTATAAAATATGACTTTGGTAGTAGGATGGTCTAGTAGATGTATTTGTAATCTGTTTTAACATCTAATTCTGCTGTTCCTTTCCAGAGAGAAAAGTTTAATAAATATTTTTTTTTACAAATATAAATAAATAAATATATATATAATTTTATATCACATGTGTAATGTGTGTATGTTTTCCAAAGTTCTAAGAACTAGTTAAGAAAAAATTAATAATATTTAAAATTTAAATATTATATATAATATATTTAAATATTATATATAATATACTTAGTTATTTATAGTTATATATATTTTAATTGATTTCATTGTTGAAAAGGTGACAGTACATTAACAGAGCATCTTCTGCAGAATTATGACAACCATTCCTTCATTTGGGAGAAGCAGCCAACTTTTTCTGAATTCTTGAATGTTAGAACTTTTTAAATTTATTTTTGCATCTCAATTATTCATTATGATTCATTATTATTATGATTTATTATGATTCATTATTATTTATTATGATTTTTATCATTTTCTCTAAATTAGTTATTAACTAATAAGTTGAAAGAGACCCAAATTAACTTTTTAATATCATATTTTGTACTGCTAGATGTTGTATTATCACCTAAGTTATAAGTTATACAGGTAAATGAAAATTATTCCCATCAATCAATTGATTGCAATTAAAATTATATGTGTTCTTCTATCACAATTTAACTATTTTCTCATTAATTTTTTTGTCTATACTCAATTAACTTTAAACATTATGTCATTTTAATCACCCATTTACAGAGAATAAAACTAAAATATCCTGATAAATGTTATTTCCAAGCGAGGCAGTTCAGCTTGAGTTTCCTCAGCAGCTTACTAACATCCACGAAAAGATCGTTAACCTTCAGTTAGTGACAGTTAAATCCCTTTTTAAATATGAACTTTTCAATTTTTATTTACTTCAAAATTAATTTTTGGCTAATTTTTCTTTCAATTTTTGATTTTTCAGATATAGACAAGTGCATTCTGTTGCCTCACATGATAAATTTAAACGTCTTTGTGATGCAGTTTCTGAAGTTTTCATTGCAAAATAGCTGCAACAACATTTTAAATCATGATCCAATTCGATTGGAGTCTTTTCATTTTTTTGATAAAAACGAGTGCCAGGTACTAAAAATAACTCTCCTAATTTTCTAAATTTTAGTGAATTAGTTGGTGAACGAATGAATGAATGAATGAGTGTCAAGGAATGAGTTTAAATGAATAAATGAGTGAGGGAATGAGTTAACAAGTTCAACTTTCTTTTAAGGAGTATTTTAAACTGTCATAAAGTTATTTAAGAATTTATTTGCTAATCATTTAATTTATCTTTTTATTCAAAAAGTTTTTAGAAAACTCAGAAAAATGGTGGTCATCGGATAAGAGCATGAGGTTTCCAATGTATGGGCTACTCTTTCAGCACTCTGTCCTATTAGAGGTAGCTAGCTGTTTCTAGTATTTATTTAATTAATTTTTAACAATTGATTGATTGATTGATTGATGATTGATCGATCAATTTTTTTCATATTAGGTTCCTTCGGAGGCTTTCAATAAGAAAGTTTCAATGAAATTAAGAAGAAAAGTAATTTTTTTCTTATGATACTAATCTTTAATGATATTAAATAACTTAAATCAAATAAAAAATAGTTTAGTTAATGAGTGGGTAATTAACTAATAAATTAATTAATCAATTAAAATTGCCTAATTGAACAAACTAGTTGTTTTTAATTAAATAAGCTATCTGATGTAAAATAAAATAAGCGATTTAATAAATTAGATGAATAATTAATTAATTGATTAATTTTTTAACCACATTACTAGAGTGAAAAGGTAGCGTTAGACAGTTTATTCCTGACAAAATTATCTCTCTCTGATGACGTCAACAAAATGGCCGGCGATGAGAAGTTGGAAATGTACAGAATGGCGAAGATGATTAAACATATAAATCGAAAGAGGCGTTCCAGAATTATTCCTTTATTTGAGTGAGTGAATGAATGAGTGAATGATGAGTGAGTGAATGAATGAGTGAGTGAGTCAGTGAATGAGTGAGTGAGTCAGTGAGTGATTGAAGTAGTATTATAGGTCAACGTTATGGTTATATTGTGTCATCGTCATCATTTTCGTCCATTAATTTTTTGTTTTTTTCTGTTAGGACTGTTATTATTTCTATCATCATCATTGTCTTTCATTATCATCTTTTTCTTCCTATTATCGCCATATGTAAATTTAGCTAAAAGATACTTCCTTTTTATATTCACCATAGATACCAAAAATGTCTATCAGTTTTATTTCTCATCATTGTTTATAACTAATAATGCTCTTTTGGTTTTTTTTTGTCTATTTATTCGTAATAATTTAACTCTGAAGTGATTTGTGCGATGGTTCTGGCGCGAAACTGATTGAAGAAACCGACCTGAGTATGCTGGACGTCGTTAAGGATGTGCCATTAAAGAGTTGGTTCCGTATTTACAAAGTCTGTTTTGCTGTGTATATATTTTTCTTTGTTTCTTATATGGCTTTCGTTTAATTGTTTTATAACATGTATATTTGAAGTTGGAATCAGTGTATTTATGGTATCTTGGACATGCTTGGTTGGCTGTATAGTGTAATGGTCAAGATGCCCGCCTTGTCCTCCTGCTCTTGCAGTGACGTTGTTCGAATGCAAAATGATTCTCGCCTACCCACGCAAATGATATCAGCGTTGATTTTGACTCACGCGTGTTTAAACGCGCTGAGTTGTAAATTATTTGGAATGCCTCTGAGACGTACTTAGAATTGTAAAAAATTGATGTGTTTTTAACATTGGTTTCATAATTTGGTCATCGATACAGATCGTTTCGTCTCATCCTAACTACGAGAACTCGCCTCTGAAAGAAATTTTAAATAATAGCTAATAAAAAGTTTTTTTATTTATTTTCTAAAATAAAATGAATCCTAAAATATTGTATTTAAAGCACGTCAGTTCGATTCTAGAGTCGCTATCGTTAATATTCTAACATTAACTTGAATCTAAAAAATTATACCTCGAATGAACAGTCTATTGTTTAATTGATTGATTAATTAATTAAATGGATCGATTGATTAAGTGACAAATCAATTTGAGGGGTGTCATCAAGATATCTCTCTCTCTACCGACATATAAAAAAAAAGTTTAAGAAACGCTTGATAGCTTGAATGTTTGAACTAACAAAGAAAAGGCACTAACGTCAAAGGCTTTCTAAAATCTGTATAAAAACGCAAATATTTTAAAAATGAAAAAATGATCACAAGGAATTATCTGAGGAGGGTGTCCTGGCCTCTCCATAGCCGTACTTGTCGTTGATGATGTTCTGAATGACAGCATCTTGGTCCACGTACTCGAATATGAAGGGGGCGTTGATGAGGACCCCTATCGATCCACACACCGTCACCGACAGGAAGATGAAGAACAACAACCGGTCGATCACAAGAGCCACGTAGCGCCAGTCGTCAAGTACCTGCGGTCGTTCATTCATTCATTCGTTCACTCATTCGTTCACTCATTCGTTCACTCATTCGTTCACTCATCCGTTGATCATTTGAGTTTTAATAATGAAAGATTAATTTTAAATTGTTTTAACGTAAACTATTTGGTTTCAAGTGGAGACCAGAACTAGGTGTTGAATAATTGCTTGCTTGCTGGTATCAACAGTTAAGTTTTAAGGTGATTTCTTCAACAAGCCGTAAATATGTGAACTCAATAACTTTGGAAATTAAAGGAAATAATGCTGAAATTCGAATAAAAAAAAGTCGTTTACGAGCCAAAAATAAACTTGTTTTGTGCATAAAATAAAAATAAGAGACGGTTTATGATGTGATGTAAGAAGCGCGTACGTAATGCTAAATGATGAACAAAATGACGGCCAACCTCCATATAATCGTCATTGTTCTTCATCTGAGTGGCCACATACTTAACCGCTTCGAGTGCCTTGATGGTTTCCTGGCAGAGTGGAATGCTTTCAAGAGACGTTGTCGTCATCTTTGTAACTTTTGTGGAAGGCATCGAAATTTTGGATCTAAGGTACTCTGGGGTTTCTTCGCTCGCTAACTTATTGATAAACGTTTTGGGCCGCTCTTCACCAAATTTGGTCATCTTTCTAGGATTTCTGGTCGTGTCAAATCGTTCGGAGTTAACGTTTCTGTTGGCTTTTCCGTTGCAAACTTGGTCTAAATTTTCTTTAGAATTGTCATCGTGATGATAAAGACTGTATGCTTTTTTGTGGTACTTTTTATCGTGGTTGGGTCGTTTCAACAGCACCAATCTCGGTAGGAAGTTGAGGAACAAGTTGCGAATCCAGGATGGCATTTTGTGGGTCCGGGGAGTTCTGAAGCTGTAGTTTATTATGAAGACAGTGATGAAAATGGTTATGAGGTTCATTATGAAAGTGAACAGCAAATATTTCTCAATCAGTGGAACGGTGAGAGAAGTTGGCGGGAGAATTTTAGAGACCAGCAACAGGAAAACAACAAGAGCCAGCAATATGGAAATGCAGAGTGTCATCTTTTCCAGAGCTTCCGCGGGCAGCAGAAAGACACACATGCTCAAAAATGAAATAAGGATGCACGGTAGAATGAGATTTGTCGTGTAATAGAGAGTCTTGCGTCTCATCTTGATGCTGTATATAATGTAGGACCTGTTGTAGCCCTCCGTTTGATCAAACTCCAACGAAAGATTTCCAGGACAGGACATGATGTCCCACGTGCCGCTGAACACGTAGTCACTCAGATCTATCTTCTGCTTGTCATCGTACCAATCAAGTCTCACCTGTCGTGTGGGGTGGAGGGATGTGTGAAGGTATGTGGGGAGGTATGTGTAAAGGATGAGATTGATGTGAGTGGGAAGAATTTTTAAATAGATTTTACGGGAATGGCAACAAAACCACACACACACTGAAACAGACAAAAAGTACTACGAGAGAAACGCACCTGATCGCCGTTAAACGTCCATGAGCCAAACTTGAGGTGACACTCCTGTTCGTCGAAGGGAAAGTATTCAACATCGATGGTGCACGAACTTTTGTAGATGGCCGGTGGGATCCAGAGGATTTTTCCATCGTTCGAGAGGACCACATTGGATTTGTATGAGACCTCGTACCTGCCGTCAGCACTGTTGTCCATGTAATGATGATGTAGTTGCTGATGTGATGCTATTGTGCTGTAGTTGTTGATGTGATGGTTGTATTTTTGTTGATGTGATGGTTGTATTGTTGTTGAAGTGATGGTTGTATTGTTGTTGATGTGATGGTTGTATTGTTGTTGATGTTATGGTGTTGTTGTTGTTGATGTTATGGTGTAATTTATAAAATGGTGTTGTTGATGTAATAGTCTCGACGATCTTGTTGTTAAGTTAGTGATGTTTCGGTTAGTCGTAAATGTAATGCTAGGTGTGCTGCTACTTGCGTTGCTCTGGTTCATAAACGTCAAAATGTTTTTTTCCTTTATGAAGTATCGTATGTTCATTCGGGCGGCGTGATGGCTCAATGGTTAAAGGCGCCTGGTCTTGCTATTGCGATGACTGAGTTCGAATACAAAGTGATTCCCGCCTATCATATGCATTGTGTATGATGCGTGGTTTGCATGCCTATTCATATACGCTGTGTGTGTTTGTCGTTGAAACCTCTGAAGCAAACGCAAAAGAAAGAGAGAGTAACCTTTAATGCGTTATCCTCGTTTAAAAAGGTAATTTATTCTTAGTTATGTGTTGATAAAAGTGCAAAACTTTTACTATTGTACTGCTTATTGTACTTTTCGTGTTTTTCAAGAAAAGTTAAATGTACTTGTTAAAGAGTACAATGTCAGGTTTCCAGACTTCAACAGCAGGCATACGGATGACACCAATCCCACCGTATTCGTACGGGTCCCATTTCAGCTGGTAGTCATGCCACATCTGCTAGCGTGTTTGTGTGCGTGTGTGTCAGTGTGTTTCTGTCGGTGTGTGTGTGTGTGTGTGTGTGTGTGTGTGTGAAAGAAAAAGGAGAGGGGGGAGAGAGAAGAAAATATTGAAGGCCTAAGAAACGTTTTGCACTTTTTGGTGTCTGTGTGTGCGTGCGTGTGTGCATGCATGTGTGTAATTCCAATAATATTATATACTTTAATAATATTATATATTTTAACAATAATAATTACAAAAGTAATAAATATAAGGGTTTCACCATTCTGAGCCAGACGTTCGTCAGGACTATTTGATTCTTTTCATCCTAAAGTAAAAAGTTACACGCAACAAAATTTTAGCTATGTGCGAATGAATGAATGAAAGAAGAAAGGAGAGATCAATGCATAGTTGGATGAATGGATGGTTGAATGAATAAATAAAGAAATGAAGGAAAGATGGATAGATAGGATTGTTATTGGCTTCCAGAACTGCCTTCTGGAAGCCAATAACAACACATTCTATCGTCAACACATTTTAAAGCCGGCATTGTTATCGGTGATACAAGATTTGAGTGTTGTTAACAACCCTACACAAAACATCAAATCAGGAAAAGAATAAAGAACGATTGAATGAATAAAAAGATTAACTATAAAATAAAGCATCATGAAATCAAACAACGAACTAACAACGTATAAAAATCATTCTTCAATAAAATCTCAATTTTATGCTCCTCGAGCACTTGAGAAGCAATGCAACCTAATGATTAGTACGAACATCGTTTTTTCAGGGTTAACAATAACACAGAGTTCATATGCTACGTTCACTCTTACGTTGTTATGTTCATCCAATGTTCTAAAACTTAAGTGTCCTCTAATAATAGCAAGCGATGTTTTTTCATTTAATGTTTGTTTTTTTTTATGTTATTTTCCATTTGGGATGTTTATTATTTCGTCTCTCTCTCTCTCTCTCTCTCTCTCTCTCTCTTTCTTTCTCTCTCTTTCTTTTTATTTTCTCTTTCTTTTTTGCTTTAATTATATTTTTCTCATTTCTTGGTTTTTTTCATTGTTTTTTCATGTTTATTCTTCACATTACACTTCCTTGTCTCTTTTTTTTACATTGTTTTTACGTTCTTTCTCTCATTCTATCTTCTCTCTTTCTCTCTCCTTCCCTTTCAAATTCTCTCTCTCTCACTCTCTCTCTTTTCTTTTTCAGTTTCCCATCTATCTGCATTTTCATTGATAACTTTCCAGTTGCATAATTTCTTAGGTATTTATTTTCGTTTTTGTTCAAATAAACAGAGAAACAACGTTTTGTATGTGCATTTGTTTCATTGTTTGTCTAGAGGTCTATACGTGTATGTATGTGTATATGTGTGTGTGTGTGTGTACGTGCAATGGCGGATCTAGAGGGTCCAGGGGGCGGTTTACCCTCTTGTGAGCAAACCTTTAATAAAAGTCAAAAAAAGGATCGTTTAATGTGTAAAATTGACCAAATATTGAACGTAATAAGCCAGAAAAGGTCGTCAACCGCACTACCAAAAATCTTGCCCCCCCGTGAAAATTTTGGCCCCGCCCGTGAATATTTTGGCCCCCCTCGTCAAAGTTGTCTATTACCGCCACTGTGTTATCTTTAGATATTTTTTGGTGTCTATATATGTGTCTGTTTATGTTACGTGTGATTGTTTGCATATGTATGTGTGTATTTGTATGTTTGTGTGCGTGTTTGTATGTTTATGTGTGTGTAGTGTATGTCTGTTTGTGTGCGTGCATGTCTGTCTGTGTGAGAAAATACTTTAAAGACCATTCCGCAATTTGTATCCATAAATAATGTATAATTCGTGACGTAACACTGACACGACATACACTAATCACCTCCTCATTGCCATTACCACCGCCTTCAAAACCATCGTCTTAGTCGTCGTCATCGGCATTTTTGCAATCTTTGCTATCATCATCATCATCATTGTCGTCATCATCATCATCGTCATCATCATCGTCAGGGCCGTTCACAGCGTTCACTTTAATGATGAATCACTCATATTTTAATTACATCACCTCCGATATTTTCATTATTGTCATGACGACGACGATGATGAGGATTATTATTATTATTGTTATTATTATTATTATTATTATTGTTTCTCGCCATATGCCAGGGACGTGTCGGCAAAAAATGAATGGCAGGCTTTGTTCCACCTCTATTTAACGATAATAACATTTCAAATGATGATGATGATGAAGAAGAAAAAGATGATGATTAGGATGATGATGATAATCATGACGATCGTGTTTATGATGATGATAATGATATCAATGTTGCTATACTAGTAAATAAACTGACACTACAACCTCCACAATCAACATCGTCATCATCACCATTGGCGTCGTCGTCGTCATCATCACCGTCATCATCATCATCATCACCGCCATATCATCATCACCATCGTCATCATCTTGGTCGCCATATACTTTTCTTGTTTACAGCAAAATGACGTCACAACTTATAGTAGTAAACATTAAAAACAAGTTTTTTGAAAACGAGAAGATTATTATTTTATCATTATTATTATTATTATTATTATTATTATTATTATCATAGAATAAATAATCAAGCATTCCAATATTTTTTCCATATATTTATATAGCGCTCAAGTTTTTTTAACGTTTGCTATACTGATGGAAAAAAAATTCAGTCTGTTTAAACGATTCGTTTGTTTACAGGCATGAATGTGTTTTCCTGTGTGTTCGTGTGTGTGTTCGTGTGTGTGTGTGTGTGTGTGTGCGCGCGCGCGTGCAGATGTATGTATGCTTTTTATGCTTACATTTATTAGTTATAAGTTATTCGCTTTCGAATATTTATTTTCAACTGACTAAACAGTTTTTACCACTTTGTCCCTTTGTTATTCAGACGTGTGTGCTGATTTAATGGCGGGAAGCTGATTACATTTACCTTTTTTTTGGTGTGGTTCCTCCCCAACTTTTGAAATGATGAAAAGAATGGATAAAAATGGATGAAATAAATGAATGAAGAAATAATTTTTGTGACGCGAAATGCGTGAGAAATTAATTTTTAGGTCATAATTTCAATTAATACGTTTATAAATACGTATGCACCTCTGTATGTCCCATAAACAGTATGTTTGCGAGTGTGCGTGTGCGTGTTTGTGCTTGCGCGTGTGCGTGCGTGTGTTTATTTCTGTGTGCGTGACATTGTTAATACGGAAAAATTAGCAACACACACACGCACGCGAACACACACGCGCGAACACACACGCGAACACGCACACGCGAACACACACACGCACGCACACACGTACACACACGAACCACGTTAATGAGTTGTATGAGAGCCATGTTGAAAGCGACGATGAGACTTTCGTTGAGGTGTTGGACTGGCCTTATGAGAGCGTTGTAGCCCTGCTTCGTGAATAAGTTGTCAATCAATCGTACCTCGTCGTCACTGCCCAGGCCTTCATTATTAATTGATTAATCAATTAATTAACTAACTACAACTACTTTATTAATTTATTATTATTATTGAATAATTAAAATCGATTATACGTTCGTAAACTTATTTTTTGCGTTCAAGTCCAATATTTGATAAGCATATTAAAAGCAATGAATGAAAAAGAAAGAACTAGAGAGAGAGAGAGAGAGAGAGAGAGAGAGAGAGAGAGAGAGAGAGAGAGAGAGAGAGAGAGAGAGAGAAAGAGAGATAGAGAGAGAGAAAGAGAGTGAGAGAAAGAGGAAAAAGAAGAGAAAAATATTTGATAAGAATTTTGAAAGCAATGAATGTTGATATTTTGTATGACGTTGAATGAGTTCAGAATGTCTGCTTATGTGTTTTTATATTTTACTAAGTATGTTCAAATGTTTGTCTGGATGGATGTTTGTTTTTATTTGTTTGTTTGTGCTGGTGTATCTGTGTTAAACGTATTTTTTAGACTTCAATCGTTTATTCAAATATTATTTATTTACTATTTAATTGTTATGCTGCTATATCTGTTAATTAATTCGTACTTTCATTCGCTAATTCATTCTATTATTCACTCCTCCATTCATTCATCCTTCTATCTATCCATGGATGCATTCATCTATCTATCCATCCAACCATCAATCCATGCATTCATCCATCCATCCATCTATCTATCCATGCATTCACCCACTCATCCATCAATCCATATATTCGTCCAGCACTTATGTTAAATTAAGTTAGTTAGATAATGCTTATCACGTGAAATTTTGTTGTTGTTTGACTTTCGTCAAGTAGCGGAATACTAGTGGATGAATGAATTTGCAGAGTTCTCTTTACTTTTTCTAAACATCCTGTTGTTCACACGCTCCTTTGCACGTGTATGTGTGTATGTGTGTGTGTGTGTACCTCAGTCTGTGAGTGTGTGTGTGTTTGTGTGTTTCGTATCTGTGTATGTTTCGTATCTGTGTATGTTTCGTATCTGTGTATGTTTCGTTATAAGTTTGTGTGTGTGTGTGTGTGTGTGTGTGTGCGCGCGCGTTTGTTTGTGTGTGTTTGTGTGGGTGTCTGTAAGTTTGTTTTAAGAAGAGTTTTATAGGTTGAGAATCTTTCATCTTGTTAGAACGAGTAGAGCGAAATATTTTCATTGCAGTGCACAAATGACGCCACGAAGAGTTGTTTTATTAACCTCCGTGGAGTAAACCGAGTACATTCGTTGATGACATCATCATCAACAACAACAACAACAACAATAACGTTAATGTTGACGTGAGCGTTTGTGTTGTTGTTGTTGCTGCTGTTGATGTTTTCGGTTTTGTTGATGTTTTTGCTGATGCTATATTTGTTGTCTTTGGTAACGATCCAGCTCGGGAAATCTTTAGTGACGTTATTTTTGGAGATGAAAATGATGATGACGATGATGAAGAAGAAGATGATGATGATTTTGATTTTGATGATAATGATGATATTACTTTAAATAATGATGATAATGCTGCTGATAATGATGATGCTGCTAATGATAACAATAGTGGTGATGATGATGATGTTTTGGTTGTTGTTATTGTTGATGATGATGATAACGTAGATGATGGTGAGGGAGAAGAAGAAGAAAATGATGATGATGATGATGACGATGATGAAAATGATGATGATGATGATATTGGTGTAGTTGTTGTAGTAGTTGTTAATATCGTCGCTTGAGTAATATAGCACAGCAGCTGATGCAACAACGATTTAATTACTATCATTTTAATCTTTAGTTTTGCCTTTTTTGTTGTTGTTGTCGTCGTCGTCGTTGTTGTTGTTGTCATAGGTATTGATTTGTTGTTGTCAATGTTATTTGTATGTTTTTTTCATTTGTAAGTCTAACTTCCGGTATACTAAAATAAAAAAATTGTTGATATTTATGATTTTGTTGTTGTTATTGTTGTTGCTATTGTTGTTGCTATTGTTGTTGTTATTGTTGTTGTTGTTGTTATTGTTGTTATTGTTGCTGCTGTAATTATTGACAGAAGCGTTTTTACCCAAACTTAGAACATTTACAATATGTTACTTATCAGTGTTTGTTGTTAATTTCTTATTTCTAGGCGTTACATAAATAACAATATTAGTATTATTATAACTATAATAATTATTATTATAATTATTATTATATATACATATATATTTTAATTTTGATTATCATTGACAATTATTGTTTCTTTCATTTCATGTATGTTTTTACGATGAAAATAAAAAGGTGTTCTCATTATTATTATTATTATTATTATATTATTATTATTATTATTATTATAAGATAATCTAAATGAAAAGAAACTGCAAAATAATAAAAAAAAATATGGCGTCTAAATATCAAACGTCATTTTAAGATAGATTAATCCTACTCCTATTTCCGAAACGTCTTGCGTTACATATAATACTACTCTACTGACGCGTTACTGCTTATTTACTAATACTATTTTTACTAGTGCTAGTACTTTCGCTGCTACTGTTGTTTCTGCTACTACTACTACTAGTACTACTACCACTACCATTACTACTACTACCACTACTACTACTACTATTACTACAACTGCTATCACAACTACTACTACAACTATTACTACTAATACCACCACCACTACTACTACTACTACAACCACTACTACTACTAATTACTGCTGGAACTAGTAAAATTGTTTATTTCTAATATAATTACGATAGCTATTACTACTACTCTCTTTGCTGGTGCTGCTAAAACTACAACCAGTTCTACTACTACCACTACTACAACACAACTACAATCACCACCACCACCACTACTACTACTATTACTACTACTGTTACTACTAATACCACTACTACTACTGCTTCTACTACTATTACTACTAATACCACTACTACTACTGCTACTGCTGCTGCTACAGTACTATTACTATTACGGTTACTACTTCTTCTGAATTACATTTTTAACCTGTAATACAATACTAAAAATGTTGAAAAATACTAACGAAACAGGCGTCAATAAAATATTTAACGTTCACATTATTACCATTATTAAATTTTGATAATATTGCATATATTAATCGTTAATTACTATTATTATTACTAATTGTAATTATTATTATTATTAATTATAATAATTATTATTAATTATAATTATTATTATTAATTATAATAATTATTATTATTAATTATAATAATTATTATTATTAATTATAATAATTATTATTATATAAATAATTCCTCTCCACGACGTTAAAGCTTTTTTAAAAAATTTCCCACAGTAAATATTAAATATATAGCATAATCCAAGGTGATGATGACGACGACGACGATGATGATGGTGATGACAACGATGATGATGATGTTGATGATGGATAACTTCCTACTTCATCCAGTCTTCCTTATATACGAACACACACACACACACACACATATATATATATATATACACACGTACACATATACACACACATACATACATGCATACACACAATAATATATCAACATGCATCTACACATACAAGCATGCATTTGGTAACATGCATGCATGCACAATACACATATAGGTTCATGCATATATGTATACACATACTCATACATATATACATACATTTGTATACTAGACTTTAAACGGTAAACTCCTATGATTTAGAATGCCTAGAATTTAGAATGCATAACATATAGACCCATTAAATAACTATACAGATTTATATAGGCAAAATCTTGTAAAAAGTTTAACAAATATTATAAATTGGCTCATACAAAAATGTACACAAAATGTTGTAAGCAAGTATGTATGTAATGTGTGTATGTGTGGCTGTACGTTTGTGTATGTGTTTGTGTGGGTGTGTTTGTATGTTTGCTGTTGTTTATGTTGAACAGTTGAACATTCACAAAAATATGCCTGTTACTCTTCACTGTACTTTAATGGAAAAGAATTTCGCAAGATGGGAAAAATGATGAACGCGTGTTTGTTTGTATGTATGTATGTGTGTGTTTGTTTGTATGTGTGTGTGTTTGTTTGTTTGTATGTATGTGTGTGTATGTATGTGTGTGTGAGTGTGTGTGTGTGTGAGTATTGTGTATGTGTGTGTGTAGATATGTTATCACACAACACAACAAAATAACATAATGTTCATATGCTGCTATATTTTAATTCCAGGAAGAAAGATTGATTTCAAATTATTATATTAATATATCATTGCAAATCTCACTCGAATCAGATTGATGCCATGGAGAAACGTTAGGGAAAAAGGCTTTGGGGTTAGAGCCCACAAAAAATATTTTTGTCAAGGTTAAGAGAGATGAATGTAAAACAAATGGCTATATGAGCTTTGAATTTTTTATTTCAACTTGTTTAATCTTTTGTAAAAATAAAACAATTTCGATAACTTTGTATACACAATACTAATTTTAAAATGAATATTGTTGAAAAAGATGAGGTACAAAATGTCAACTTCGTCTGAAGAATCCAAGCAAGAAGCAATCCTCAAAAATTTTTGATTTCTCCGCTAGATGCAATCACTCCAAATACCTTGATTTCTCGTGAAAATTTTTAAGTGGTTTAAGTTTAATAGTTGATTGCCATGAATTGTGTTAAAACCTATTGATTGATTGAATGATTGATTGATTGATCGATTGATTGATTGATCGTTTATTTTATTGATATCTATTGATATCCTGGATATATATATCCATGATTGATATCTACATCATAATATTCTACCAAAAAGCATTGTTTTTTCTTTGTAAACAAGCGCCAAGGTTGCAATCAATTATCGTTCGCATTTGCTCCATTCCATTGCACGGTTCGTCCGTTTAGCGTTCTGTACGCGTACGTAATCGAATCGTACAGTTGATTTTTCCGGCTGTTTTTTTCTAATTGTATTAACTCTTTCTGTAATCATGTCCAAGAAAGTTGAATTTGATGACGAAACTGAAACAGTACTGAAACAAGTATGTAGTAAAAGTGAACATTGTACTACTATTAAAAAAATTAAAAAGAACATTTACTTTTTTCTATTATTATAATTTATATTATTTTATTGGTGGTATACGTATGGTACATAATAGTAAAACAATAATTACTATACTATAACTATAGTATAGTAAGCAGAGAAAGTCAATGAGACTGCCAGAATTTTGGCTTATAAATTATAAATTTATAAAATATATTATTGTTTAATAATCTATGATATTATTTCATTATGTTATGAAAAAAATTAATCCCCACAGTTTAAAGAGTTCCTCTCATCTTACAACAGACTGTCAGAACAATGTTTCGTAGACTGCGTTCACGATTTAACAACGAGAAAAATATCTACAAGTGAAGTTAGTTCAGTAATTGTGAATTACAAATTTTGACCCATCAGCAATTTAAGGTTTTGTTGAAAAATAATTAAAGTTTGTTGAGGGTTAACAAAATCAGATAGCAAATAGGCTAAAATGTTTTCTGTGTAGTCGTCTAAAACCAAATTTGAGCGACGAGACTGTTTAGTGACGATTTAAGCAAGAATTGATAAAAAAAATGATAAAAGACCAAGTGATAATTTGATCACCTAACACTTTTCTAATTAATTATAAAAGTTAATTAATATTAATTAACTACACCCCACCCACAACCAACTACAACAACATAGGGCACATGTGCATTGAACTGCATGGACAAACACTTGAAGATAACTCAACGGATATCGCAGAGGTTCCAAGAGTTCCAGTTACTACAATTACCCGATCAGTCGCTTCTTGCAAAGACTGGTGCTGTTGCAAAATGACAAAATGTTCTTTTTTATCTTCACAAAAATCGATTTCTTTTAAATTTCGTTTTTGTATGTTTTATGAATATTTTATGATTAAAACAGATATTTCTATCTGAGAGTACAAAATTTGTTTATTGTCTTCTGAAATGAAAAATAATAATTAATAAAATTTAAGAGTTTCATCGTTTCATTAATGTGATAAAAATTAACGTTCCAAAACAAATTTTCAAATCTATGACATTTTCAAACAAGAAAAAGTAAATTAATGGTAATAATAATAATAATCTGTTAACCTTTCAGAAAAATATTTATATACGTTTTAATGAAATGAAAAAATAGAAACACAACATAAAAATAGAATTCAATCATCAAACTCTAACTAAACCATATACAAACTCTCGCATAGAATCGATAGATTGAAATTCTATCATTTTAACTTGAGGTAGAATCACTCACATACACACACAAACACGCACGTACGCACGCACACATTAGAGGTGAGCAGCAGGAATAGCTTTTTCTATTTCAATTCCTTTGCATTCACATATTGGATTTTCCTACCATTCATTTGTTGAGAGTAATTTTCACCTATTAGTAAATACTTTTGAATGGCATTTAAAATTCGATGTCAATCAAACAGATATAAAAAATCAATTCATTACAATAAATTATTAAAGTTATATAACTTATATAACTATTCTATTATGCAAAAATAATAAATGAATAATTACATAAATCGGTTTGCTGATAAAGTTAGTAGTTTTTCTTCTTCCAAAATTCATTCAAAGATTAAAAATGCTTTGCCAACTTCTTTTTACTAAAAACAGTGTCTTTAAAAACGAAAAACATCTTAGAATTGTACGGTTACAAAAAAATTTTTGTGGGGGCGTTTTTTCTGAAAACCCCGGAACAGTGGTTCCTCCTTAGGCCCTACCCGTGTCCACCCCTAACACATGCACTCATACACATTAACACATATATAACAAATATTTTTATCCTAGTTTATAGGCATAAATGTGATAACCGTTCACCTAAACATTACAAACGAATGAACGAACATGAAAAAAAAAGGTCCGACAGACATGTTTAAAAATGAAAATTAGACGTGTTGGACATATGTGAAATTGTTGTTGGTGTGCCCAGATGAGAAAATATAGTCATGTTCATGGATTCGAAGGAGATGCTTATGAATAACACGTGTGTGTGTGTGTGTGTGTGTATTTTGTAATTGCAATTCACATTTATATCTGAATATGATAATTTTAAAATGTTAATAATCATAAATTGAAAGTGAAACAACCGTGCTATTTCTTGCTTAATTTATAAAAGTTAAAAATTTTATTAATTGAAATTAAAATTTTGAATAAAACAAACTAAGGCACGTAGATTTGATATATAAGGCCTTATTGATGATAGATTTATTTGAAAAAAAATCAACCAGAAATCGCGTCTGTTACTCGTGATGAATTATGAAATTGTTGGCATGTTAATACAACATTTAAAAAATAAGAGGACATCCTAATAAATTGTACATCGGCATTAAAACAACCACAGCCAATAAAATGCTTTCAGTTTATTAAAATTAACTATATTAAATACATACAAGACACGCATGCGTAACTACATAAGGTGCATGAAACATGAAATCCTTTTAAAACCGTCCACCAAATGCAAAATATAAAAATAAGGTTTCAGACATGAAATGTAGAAATTTAATATAAATCTTAAACGGTTCACTTCACAGACGCCAATCGTCTCGTTTCGTTATTATAAGTTCTTATTTATTTTCAACATAACATATAAAAATGACGCGTCAAATCAAAACAACCGTGAAAGAAAAAAATGTCACTAAATATAGGAAAAAAAAAATCAAAGAGAAAGAAAACAGTTCAATGTTGAAGATGATGAAGATGACTAAATGTCTCACTCAACTTCGATGACACACACCAAATCATTTTGACTTGTTCGTACGATTATGCACGCACACCCACATTCACTCATACACATACACACACACACACACACACACACACACACAGAGATATATACATATATATATATATATATATATATATATATATATATATATATATATATATATATATATATATATATAACACATACATGATTATAATCACATGCACACATACATACACCCATGCAAACATACATATATGAAATGCGTAGATACAAAACTATACAAACGCGATTATTCATTGTCATAATTTCATTAATAGTAACACGTGCGAACATTTTAAACAGAATGAAAGATATTTCTCGAATAATATAGTTTAACTGTCCACAAAATACAATGACGCACGCACACACACACACACACACACACACACACACATACACGTATATTTATAACATATTTATTTACTTACTTGAATATATATATAAATCAGCACAGAGATTAACACAAGTAGAACACACAGCACGCACACCAAGCAATTCAACGCACGCGGCACGCAAACGTAATGCAAAAACCGATGCATGATGCACAACCTGAACCAAGTTGTCATGAAATTGCAAGGCAATTCACTCATTCCTTGGCAATGGAGCTGGGATATCGTTTGGGATCTAAGGATAATCTGCCTCTTTCGATGATGTTACTCATTCCATTGACTTTGTTCCTGCTAACATCTCCGTGTTTCTCCAATGTATTCTCTCTTTGTTTCGCATGTTGTTTACCGACTTGGGTGGCGGCAACTGTGGCCATTAGATCGATCGTTGCGTAAACTGTTTTATCGTGTGGCGATGGAGTTGACGGAGGAATTTTGAAGCCTTTGGCCGACTGAGGCTGCTCAATAGACGATTCCATGGACAAGACGTCGATATCAGCATAATTGACCAACGTGTTGTTGCTGGTTCTGGTTCTGACTGAAGAATTTCCCGGAGAATCAGGAATGGGAGAATCGTGTTGGAGACACTCGTGAGGTGTTAGTGGGACCCTTCTCATTAGTTCTTGGCTCATTCTCAATGACGATCTACCGACGGAAATTATACCGCTCGAAAATCTGGGCGAGTCTTCACCGCTGCTACAGTTGTTTGCCACACTTTTTTCATCAAATGAGAAAATTGTTGACGCGATTGAAGGAGACTGTTGTGGAGATTCTACCAGGCGTCTCCTGTCTAGATATTCTCGACCGTTTCGAGGTTTCGACGTGGCCAGTGACGTTGTGGATCTTGATGCATCAAACGATGATCGCTTGTTGCCCACCATGGACTCGTTCATGTCGCTACTTTTCCTATGTCGGTACGAGTTGCCGCTTGCAGTTGAGTTGACATCAGAAAATCCTGACAACTTTCTTCCCACTGGAACTGTAGATTGAATGCAACAAGTGAGCTGTTAATATTACAGATATACCTATAACACACACACTTATTTGTATTTAATATATATTTGAAACGTCATTAAGGTTACAGTTAGAACAGACCAGCAGTGCAACAGATTTAGACATACAAAATATTCAAAATAGTTTCAAACACCAAAGCTAAAAGCCCATTAAAACAAGCAAATAAAACTGCCATCAGACAAACAAATACTTGATTCTTCCTCTACTGTGCCATCAATTTGAACAGTAAGATTGGGCTTGCGATGTTTCGTGATACCAACCGAAGCAGAAACAGGTCGAACAAAGCTGAGGGGCATGTTAGATAACGACGAAACAGAAGAGGATTTACCGTGGTGAAAAGGTAAAGTATTTGATGATGGCTGGTTGTAAGTAGCACCTGGAGAATTCGAGTAGATCTGCCTTTTTGGAATGGGTGGTTTCGGTTCACTTTGTATTAGAGGAAAAATTTCATGTTTTGTAATGATGGTAGAATTGGCTTGGCTCATGTTTCTCTCGTAACTGTTATTTCTCACATGCTTGCTCTTTGCAGGTATCGGTGGAGGATTGGATGAGGAAGATTCCTGTTGCACATCTTCTTTAATGATTGGGAGCGTCTTGGGTGGCAATGGAGGAGGTGGGGGGAGGACAGCTGACGTCATAGTGCTCAGATTTATGTAGTCCTGTTGTTCAGCAGATGGCGTTGTTGGTGGTTGCAAGGATGGTGACTGAAGTGGAAAAAATAGACATGGTGTTGGTGGCGGGGGTGACTTCATGAGTTGTTCTCTTAACAGGTCGTCATTTGACTGAGGGAGTTTCGCTGGAGCTTGTTTAACGTTTTTATTTGCACCCTGTTCAACTTCCTCGTCCGAGAACGAGACATGACTGTTCTGCTCTAGAACCATCAACTTGTCTTCACAATTTTTCTCAAAGTAGTCATTAGCATCTGATGAATAATTTGTTAAGATCGACTGTTTATTAATTTTATTCACATCTTCTCCAATTACGCTATCAACGTTTTTCATTTTTTCTTTCGAAGCAGACGGTGTAGATGAAGTTGATTCAGTTTGTAGGCTGGGGGCAGGTTGGGGTGCCTCACCAAACATATTGATGCCAAGTTGTTGCATTGTTATGTAGTTGCTGTTGTCAGCAGTTTCAGTCTTGGAAACTTTGCATTTGTCAGTCTTAGGACTACGTTGGGAGATGGGCGCAGTGACGTCAGAGTGAGAATGAACTAACTTTTTATTGTTGAGTCGCTGTGGAATAACTTTTTCCGACGCATTATTAAAATTAACATAAGAGTTTTTATTGGTGTTGCTCTCATTCTGTTGATTTTGCGGCTGGGGTAAACTATTTTTAGCATAGAACATGGTCGAAAGATGATTGATTGAGTCAGATGAATAATTAGGCTTCAAGAAATCACTGGCATTAGTTTTCAGCTTCAATGGAAAACTTTTACTCTGCTTGTTGTCGTCATTAGACATGAGATTGATGTAATCTACTTTCTTGGCTGGATTGTTGAATTTATTCTGCAAGTCAGTCAGAGTGCTGGCCGTCCAACACATGTAGACGCCGTCGGAATCGTCATCAAACCTGCTGAGGTCTTTGTAGGGCAAGGGTTGTAATGGGTCATATTTTGTTACTTTCTCACACGTTCCTCCATTCATCATCGGCTGCTTTATCGTTTTATCGATGTTTTTTGATTTTTTATCAAGGTGTTTGAAATTACCAGGTACAAATCTCTGGTCTTCTTTGAATGGCTTCAAAAGTCGACCAAATGATGAACTCAGTGAATAACTTTTTCTGTATTTGGTGATCGGCTGTCGAGGTGTTGGGGGCAACGCTGACTTAGATGTCATATTAGATGTTTTCATGTTGTTGATGTTGATGTATTGCATTGGAGAACTTACAATGGGTAACATGGTTGTCGTCGGGTAGAAACTATCGACTGAACTTCTTCTTGAATCACTAGTCATCTTACTCACAACACTGTTTCCATGTTGCCGATGAAGTTGTTGTTGCTGCTGCTGTTGCTGCAGTAACATCGAGTTGTCTGCTATTCTATTATTAAAGTCTTGCTCCTGATTCCGTAAATCATAATCTGAATGATGTCTTGATGTGCTTGTCAGAGAAAGTTGATCCTGGCCCTGCTGATTTATGGTCGACCCTTCAAATGAAGAATTTCTAATCTTGGTTAGCTTGCTGATGTTGGGAGGGATGGAACTGGCAGTTGTTGTTAAAGTCGGTGTTGTCTGACCTTTTGGTGGCAAGCAAGCTATGTTGCTGTTGTTGGATGACTTATCAGACATTTTTTTGTGTGGCATGGTACTGGATTGGAGGAAAAAACTTTGGTAGGTCGGCGTCGGTGGTGGCAAAGATGGCGACCTCAACGAATTTACTGTCTGGTTTTCTGTTATAATTAAAATGATTCATCTCGGATTTTGGAATCGGTTAGAAGAAGCAAACAACAAAATATTGAATGTAGAAAAAATTGCACATTAAAAATTTAAATCATAATAAAATTTCTTAATCAATCAATGCAAATAAATCAGTTCAAAATTACAACTTTGGAATGAAAAGCAGCCCAGACCAATGGAATCAATTATTTACATATGATTGATTCCTGATGAACAAACAAATAAACAAACAACTATTAGGCCAATTTTGTATATAAACTGCTGGGTGGCAGCAACAATAGTAGTAGCAGTAGTAGTTCAAAGATAAGCGCGAAGTTAAATTCGTCATTTAAAATTAAGATTTGCCGTATTTTGCCTGTCTGTATTTATAAAACTTTACCTTGTCATCGCTGTCATTAATATTTTGAAACGTTGCCAATCTTTTGGGAGGTTTAAAAATACTACAAAACACCGCTTAATAGTCTGATTAACAAATTTATCATTAAATTAATTAAATATAATAAATATAATTAACCAGTATAAGATGATGAGGAAGAAGATGATGGTGGAAAAATTTGAAATAGAAGGCCGAGAGATTGCTGTGCGCGCTGGACTTTACATCTGATCAAATTGTTGATATGTGGTGACTGCGAACTCTCTATTGTAAACCTTAACAAATCTGGTAAAAAAAATAAATTAATCAATTATTAAATTAATTAATTAGATAATAAATTAATGAATATAGTATATAATTGAATGTTGGTGAGGCCTAGCACCGCTGTTGTAGTGACTGTGTTTATTAGTGCAAAGAGATCGCTACACTACAAACAACATGCAAGGGGTTAAAAAATTCAAACACTTGAACTCTGAACTGTCCCTATTCTTTTACTTCATGGGTGTACAATCCCCTGTTCTAAATCGTGACACAAAAATGTGATTAAACAAGTTTCAAACATCAAACAGTACAACAACAACAACAACAACAACAACAACAACAACAACAACAGCATCCACATACGAAACCATAACATGAAATTTTTGGGAAGGGAACGAATGAGAAAGTAAAAAATAAAATTTCTAAAGGTCAAACGATGTTGACTGAATGAAGCAGATGCATCTACGCATGTATGTATGTATGTATGTATGTATGTATGTATGTATGTATGTATGTATGTATGTATGTACAAATGAATTAGTAGCGGTGTGTGATGTACCGTGTGATGCACCCACACATGCATCACAAACAATGTAAGGCAGTAGGTACATCATAAAAATAAACATTCAAATGAATGGTAACAACAACAACAACAAACAAAATATTAATAATCATAATAACAACAACACAACCAAAACAGTGGTATGTATTATTTTTCTTTAATAATACCAAGTACACCCCTCCCCGCACACACACACACACATACACACACACACATCCACACATACACAGACAGACAAACAAAGAAGCAAACATACATTCATCATTTAGCACATTCATATGCACATATTCATACACAAATCTGCACTTGCAAACATACCACCACAAAATACAAACCAATACACACACGCAAACACATACACACACGCACACAACTAGTAGTATTAGTAGTAGTATTAGTATTAGTAGTAGTAGTAATATTAACAGAAATTGTAATAACCTATAACATTTAGCTGTGTTTTGTGTATAATTTTGCAAAGATAAACATAGCCTTATATAAACACTCCAACAATACAAATATTCCCACTGTATTACAATGATAACTAATTTAAACAGGAATAAATATTTACCTGTAATGAAAATTTACGCTCGCACGCACACACACACACACACACACACACACACACACACACACACACACACACACACATACACCACACACACAAACACACACACATAATATAGGCTAACCAAAACAACTAAATAGAAACCATGTTTTTTTTATATATCTAAAATTAATGGAGACCTGCTTGATTAAAAAAAATATGAATTGATAAATCTGTAACAATAATTAATATTAAACTTTATGTAATAAATAATTAACAATACAGAAAAAACCAAATAAATAAATAACAAAAATGGAAACATGAAGTTGAATCATTAATTACAACTCTCTCTCTCTCTCTCTCTCTCTCTCTCTCTCTCTCTCTCTCTCTCTCGCTTTCTCTTTCTCCCTATGTCATGTGAATAATTTTAAGCATTCAAACAAAACGATCTGTGAACTGAGTAATGCTAAGTGGAATTGAATTGAAAACATCAATGTTAATATCCATTATCTCCAAATATCTCATATCTCAATCTCTCTACATCTGTGTCTGTATCTGTCTTCCCCCCCCTCTCTATCTTTCTCTAACCATCCTCAAATTATCATCTTAGTAGTAACACACTCAACACAACAATAACAATAACACGCTAATAGTACAATGAGGAGTGATATAAACTTATCAGCAGCCGTTCATTTAACAATAAAATTCAAAGAAAGCATATCAAAGGTAGCCGGCATTTCATGTAATCTATATAAACGTACATACACACACACACACACACACACACACCACACACATACACACACACACAAACAAACAGTACCACCATAAACTATGTTCTCTCACACACACGTGCGCACGCACACACAAACACACACGCGCCTACGCATGGAAAAGTATAAAAAAATGGACAAAAGGTTGAATTGAAAGGAGTAAAAAATGAATTGAAAGTTTCATAAACCATAAAACTCGTTAACATTTGTTTTGTTAGATACAATAAGTAAATCAACAACAATATTTTATAAAAATAGAATCCGTGTTTGTATGTTATGTAAATTGTACACGCACACATATATACAACAAGTGTATTTCACGGTAATTTAAAATGTTAAACTGCAAAAACCAGGAGACGAACAATAAGGATGATTTGAACGAACTTCAAAAACACACGCATGCACACACACGCACGCACAAACACACACTCGGACAGACACACACGCACACGCATACACACGCGAACAGACACACACAAGCACACACGCGGACAGCACACACACAGTGTAAGTTCCCATAAAATTTAAAACTAATTAACAAAGAGTTCAAATTAATTATTTCTACAATTAAAAAATAAATAAATAAACCAATAAAAATTCCCTTGAGGGAAAAATCCTCTCACATGAATAATTTTCAAAAAATTTAGAAAATTTCATAAAAATGACTCAGTAGCTTCCCACAACTAACGTAATTTTTGTATGTTAGAAAGCTTCCCAAAATACTTATCTCTATTTATTCAACAATTAGGAATGATTATTGCCTGCAGGCAAGATTAAACCTCAAAGTGACCTGGATTAAATGCAAAGAAATTCTTACCTACAAAACATAGGAGCAGATGATATCTACGCTAGGAAACATTCAAACAGCTGATGGGTTGCTACTACTACATTCATACAAATCAATTCACATGTTTGAGTCTGCATGCTGTGTAGGGAGCGTTCGTTGATCAATAACAAAATGACAAAATAAAAATTACAGCCATTGATTGAAAATTAAAAAAAAATATGATGAGAAAATAAAAAAAGAGACCTACAGTCCTACATACATCAAACATCCACCCACTCACATTATTCATCAAACAAACGAATGAAAACAAAAACTACAACACAACAAATCAACCAAATGGCACCCAAAGCCCATTTGACATTTTCTTGTCATCATCGTCGTCGTCGTCGTCACAATCTTCACCACGTCATCCTCATCTCGGCATGAAAACAAATTGTAACCAATCATGCAAGACGTCATCACCATCTGCTATATTCATTCATTCATTTATTCATTCATTCATTTATTCATTCATTCATTTATTCATTCATTCATTTGTTCGTCATTATTTCTCAAAAATAAATGTTAAAAGTCAAAACGTAAATATCACATCGGTAATAATGGTCATTTTGGGTGTAATAATGACGACGACGGTGGCGATGATGATAACATGATGACGACAACGATGATGATGGAGTCATGATGCCGATAAATTTTAGTGTCTAGATGATGATGATGATGATGATGAAAATGAGAATGATTAATGTCATCTTCATATGGTGTGGTGATAAGGATGATGATAACTTGAAAAAAAACCAACCAGCCAGGCATCAGAAGTTATAAAACAAACAAACAAATAATTGGACGAAATTGAAAAGTAGTAAATCAAAGAAGAATCAAAGAAAAAAATATTAAAACAACTGAAAATTTATGAAAATTGAACAACCTGTAAATCTTTCAAGATCATTCAAAGTTAAGCTACACAAACACACACACACACACACACACACACACACACACACACACACACACACACACACACACACACACACACACACACACACACACACTCACATATAGCAAATAGACAAGAATTGAACCCACGACCTTTCACATTCATTGAAAAATATCTCAACTCTTAAAACATTCAGCCAAAAAAAAATAAAACACAAGTGAACTAAAAATAGAAGGATCATAACATTATATTATTTTGCTCAAGTACACCAATGACAAATGAACAAATAAACAAAAACATGTATAAATATTTGCATACATACCTATATTACATCTATCTACACACACACACACATACACACACACACGCACACACACACATATATATATATATATATATACACACGTACATCAACATAAGCACTTTCTGGAATGCTTGGTGATGTATGTACATGTATACATACTTAGATTTGGTGTTATATAAATAGAAAAAACCCTAAAAAATTTGGAAAAATGTTTTGAAGCCATGATTAACATTGTTGTTTTGATGGGGGAGTTCTCTGTAACTCAATATAACTAACAATACTATAAATTACTGTATGAATACCATGAATACTAAAATACTATAAATAATTGTATGATGATGATAATAATAATAA